GCAGCCACCGTGTTAATTGTGATAGTCCGGTGCCTCAAAATGGCTGAAGGGCCACCAGTGCTTGCTGCTAGAGAGGCTGTGTATGTGCCCTCCCTCTTCTTTCAAGGTTTCCTGCGTGGTTCAGGTTTGTCTTCGGGTTTATGAGTCATGTCGGCAATCTGCCAGCAAACAGTTCCTTTGTCAGTTCAAGGCTCACTGGAGAGCGCATTACGACATTCCAATTGTCATCCAGTGGATTTCGACTCCTGTAGACTCCATGGGTGTCAGAGTGGAGCTGTGGACACAGATCAACAAACCTCTCTTCTGACCTGCCTTTGGGGAAACTAGAACTGTTCACCTTTTGGTCATTCATCTTAACTGTTAGTGTCACCCAACTGTTTCCATTAAGATACCCAGGACCCTAGTGGAGTGGTTAATTCTCCCAACACTTCTTTGGTGTAGATATTATAATCCCTATTTTATATCAATGGGCGCCTTGGGGGTGTCGTGGTTACTGGTTGGGCTGTGATTGGCATGGCTGGCAGTTGGACACCACCAGCAGCTCTCAAGGAGAAAGAATGGGCTTTCTGCTTCCGTAAGTTATAGTCTTGAAAACCTACAGGGGGAGAGGGGTCGCTATGGGTCTCCATTGTATCCATGCAGTGAGTTTTATTTTATAATCAAGGAAACTGATCGTCAGAGAGATTCAATATTTTGTCAAAGGCCACACAACTAAGAAGTGAGAGAAGATTTGAGTTCCCAGGTCTATGCTGCTTCTTGGGTAAGAGAGTCTGCAGACTTAATATTATGTAGTGACATTCGATCCAGAACATTGGATTTTTAAGGGACCCTCCTAAAGGCCAACGCAACCATATGCTTTTGTCTTCAAAGAAACAAGAACACCACGTGTCATGGCTCTGTGACTCGTAGCTCACTAGGTTGTTAGACCAACTCTTTTACTTTCCACTGTTGGTTCAGGTGGTGGTACTGGTCTCTCAACAAAGATGTGTTAAATTTGCCTGGTATGTGAACAGCAACTGTGGACTTCTGGGTATTCCCTGCCAATGGCACTTCTTTCTACAGACAGATCGCAACTCAGCGCTAAGACACAGTCTGCAGGTGGCAAGCGGGGCACGCTAGTATTTTGCTTAAACTCTTCTCTGGCTCAAACCCTCCCTCACACAAGAACACTTTGTGTTAACCACCTGGAATTCTGTGATGCTCACCCTCCTGGCGCGATTGCTGAAGACAAAATGAGTACACAAGCAAATGTGGTGAAGAAAGCTGATGGTGCCTGGCTATCAAAAGATAGAGCATCTGGGATCTTAAAGGCTTGAAGTTATACAAGCAGCCATCTAGCTGAGAAAAAACAAGCCCTCATGGAAGAAGCAAACCAACCTGTGTAATCAACGGGATCTGATAACAGGCATCAGAAGACAAACAAACAAACAAACAAACAAACAAACAACATATTGTTGAGAACAAAGGGGTCAGAGAAAAGACCCCCCAACCCATCTGTAGACAATGGGACATCCCTTCACAGAAGGGTCACAAGGAAGGGATGAGTCAAACAGGGTGAAGTATAGCATCGAAGAAACACACAATATTCCTCCGGTTCCTTGAGGCTACCTCACCCCCCCAGTATCATGACCCCAACCCTACCTTTCACCGTGGGCTAGGCCAGAACATGTACACAGGTATGAATAAGGGCTCATGACACACGGAATCCAGGTCAGAGAAACCCTTCAGGAACAGAAACGGGAGCAGCAATACCAGGATGGATAGGGGGTTGGTGGGGAGAGGAGAAGGGAAGAAATCGCAGGGGAAGGGAGATAGCAGTCGGTGTAAGATATGAAAATAATAATAATTTCTAATTTATCAAGGGATCATGAGGATGGGAGAGGGAGACGGAGGGTAAAAAGAGGAGCTGGTACCAAGGGCTTAAATAGAAAGTAAATGTTTAGGAAATAATGGTGGCAACCTATGTACAAATATGCTTGATACAACTGATGTATGGATTGTTATAGGAGCCCCCAGTAAAATGATCTAAACAAACAAACAAACAAACCCCAAAACCTCGTCTCTGTTTAATAACATAGTATAGCTGAAAGCTATAGGGTCCTTCATCAGTAGGAGATAGCTACATCCAGTTCCAGGTTAACGAGCAGAGCCTGTGGTTTCCAAGCTGAGCAAGGATTATGAATCCTTTCTAACCTCACGGCCCTCAGTATTTCAATGTAGGTGGGTGTGTACTGCCCCTGGGTCCTTTCAACACCATCAACTCCCATGGGCGCCCCTAGGAGAGAGCCACATCACCCCACTTCACTTCTTGGCTCCCTTTGCACCGCTTCTTCTTGTTCCTTGCCGTCTTCCTTTGTGGCGAGAGAAACTCTTGCTCCTTTGGCCTGACACACAGCTCCTGGTGTGCTCTGTAGAGCACACACTCACTCACCGCCACAGAGTCGATTCCGACTCCCGCCACCCTGTAGGACAGGCTAGAACAACCCTGAGGTTTTGGAGACTGTAACTGGTTCATGGGAGTAGAGAGCCCCACTTGTCTCCAGAGGATGGGTAGGGGGTTTTGAAGCCGATGTTGTAGTTAGCTGCTCAACAGATAACCACTATGCCACTAGGGGGTCCTTGTTCTTCAGAATAGAAAATGAAAATAATTCCTGGTTTCTTCCTTCCTTCCTTCCTTCCTTCCTTCCTTCCTTCCTTCCTTCCTTCCTATCAGGCCAGTCACTCAGTGAATCGCTAAACCTTATAAGCAGTTTCTATAAGCAGCAATGACTTGCGAGCCATCACTCAGACTTTAGGGGGAGGCTGACAGCCGGCACCGCTGTCTCGTGCTCAGCTCTGGGATGCTCCGGCACCAGCTCTTCATCCTCTACGTGGTAACGTCAAGGGCTTGGTCTTGTCAAAATGAAAACCCCCATACGTTGAGCCCCGTGTGTTGTCAGAGTCCAATTGTGCTCACAGGGTTTCTTCGGGGGGATGTTTTACGTCTAGACTGCTCGCTCTTTCTTCCAAGGTGCTTCTGAGGGGCCTTGAACCTTCAACCTTCCAGGGAGCCACTGGGCACCCTGACCATTTGTGCTATCGAGGGATTCCATGTCAAAACCAAGTGTTTCTAATGTAAAAACCAGGGCCCTGCTTTGGAGAGTTCCCGGATGTGCCAGGCAAGACTTCCAGAGTGAATGTGGCTCAGATACATTCAGTGCCCGGGAAGGGTTGACGCACCGGTTATCGACCCTCTGGCAGGATGGCTGGGCCACAGAGGTTTTGCTTCTTCCTCAAGTGATCCTGTGTGATACAGGATTCATTCCACGCTGCCTGTCAGCCACGGGACATGATCCCCCGCAGGAAGACCTGTCCACGGCACATTGGCGTTTCCCATCTGAACTTAAAATCCCCAGTGTCTCCCAGCATTTCCCCAATGCAACCACTGGATCATTGACATTCCTTCTTAACATCCCAGATACGTAGAACTAATGACCGTCCCTCAAACATCCACAGCGACCACGTCCTCTCTTAGCAGACACACCCACCCATGGGTGGCCTTAGCACATTGAAATCAGAAGGCTAGCCGTCTTCATTCCGGCTGCTGGTGCTAGGGGGAAAACCTCAGGGGAGGAAGGTCCTTATTTCTTGGTTCCGTGGTGATCTACGTGTGTGAGGTCTATCTTCCCCCACCTGTTTGCTCACTTGCTGGTTTAAACTCTTTAATGTCACAAAAGAGATAGGCTTAAAACACACCCTCCCCAGGCAGAAGGATTTACAACACACACACACACACACACACACACACACACACACACACACACACACACACACTTCCAACCATAACGATCCATAGAAGAAAAATGTTTTTGAGGACTTGGCTATGCAAGAGCTTCTGGAAGGGATGACCAGCTTACGATGCAAGTCTTCATGCTTCTGGAAGGAAAACGGCTCACTCGGTTCTGAGACCACCGAGCGTGAGAGCAAGGCAGTCAAGTCCAGAGGATGTCAGGTTATCTATTTTGGAACACTTCTTTGTCTATAAGAGGAGCTTCCAAATTCGAGGCTCTAAGACGGGGCAGGGGGAATGTCCACAGCCTGCGGGCCCTAGGAGGCCTGTGACATCCTCCTCGATACCAACTAACATCACAAGAGAAGTAGGTCCAGCCATCGCATTAAAAAAAGTCTGGCTAGACCAGGGGATGTAAACTGGTACAGGTAGGAACTGGAAACACAGGGAATCCAGGGTGGATGATCCCTTCAGGACCAGTGGTGTGAGTGACGAAACAGGGAGGGTAAAGGGAGAGTGGGTAGGAAAGAGGGAACCGATTACAAGGAACTATATGTGACCTCCTCCCTGGGGGACAGACAACTGAAAAGTGGGTGAAGGGAGACATTGCACAGGGCAAGATATGACGAAATAATAATTTATAAATTATCAAGGGCTCATGAAGGAGGAGGGAGCGGGGAGGGAGGGGAAAAATGAGGACTTAATGCTGGGGGCTTAAGTGGAGAGAAAAAGTTTTGAGAATGATGAGGGCAATGAATGTACAAATGTGCTTTACACAATGGATGTATGCATGGATTGTGATAAGAGTTGTATGAGCCCCTAATAAAACAATTGAAAAAAATACAATGAAACAAAAACTCCTGGCCATCGAGTTATCTGGCCTCCTAAGCACCATACAGGACAAGGTGGAACTGCCTCTGTGGGTTCCCAAGACGGGCACTCTAAGGGAGCGCAAAACCTTGTCTATTCGCTGTGGTTTTGAACTGCCGACCTTGCAGTTAGCAGCCCCGTGAGTAACCATGATGCCACCAGGGTTCCAGCTATCGCATTAGGCGTGAATAAATGAAACATTTGACCAGCATGACCCAGGAATTATGTTACAAATAGCCAAATGGTTATTCGGCAGAGAAAAGGTTCCCTGTGCCTGATCTATGAGGTCACGTTGTCCCTACCCCGTCCTCTTGAATAGGTGTCCGTGGCTGGGGGTGGAGGTGGTGAGTATCAGGCTCACCTGGTTATTTCTTCTTTCAGGGCAGCAGGGTCTGCAGGGTAAAACTTCACACGGAAGCACATGGTGAATGGAGGCTGGGCTGCGGAGAAACAGAAGTGTCCGTCAGAGAAGATAGCCCGCCAGGAGGTGACTGGGGCTCCCACTCTGGTTTGCATTGGCCTCTGAATCGCCAGAAGGAGATGCTCCTTTGTGCAGGGCTGACTGACACTCAGAGCAGTGGGAAAGTGCAGAGGCAGACCCAGACTTGCGATGTGTGGGAGGTTTTAACCCACCTCCCCAAGTGTGAGGTTTTAGTCTTTTCATGGACAAAACTTACATCTCAATTGCTTCACAACAGACTTCGTAAACTCCAACCAGTGCTGAAACAGAGAACACAGAACAAGAGAGCCCCAGTGAGAAGAAGCAGTCAAAGAAGACTGGTTTTATCCAGTTTAAATAACGAGAGATCGTAGCCCAGGGTGAAAGCAACCCAAAAGCTTGTGAGATGTAGGTTGGGAGATGAAGGAGTGATAGGGGTGTTTGAAATAAGCTCCCCACGGAACCAGGCGGGAAAGGTGGGAGGACAGGTCTGATGAATTCAGCTGTCATATCTGCGCTTTCCTGGAAATGTCTCCTTCCAAAGCAGGGGGCCAAGGTCCTGAGCCATGTTAGGAGGCACAGGGTGTGCATGTATGCGTGTTGGGGGCAGAGCCCCCATGTGACTTGAGGAAGGAAATGGGCAGTGGTCATTTGCGTGATGTGCCAACTCTTTTTGACATAAAGACGGGGACCGAGGTATTGGTGGCAGTCAATCTGGAATGGATTGACAGGCATCACTCCAGGCGTGATACAAAAGGAGGCTGGGTGGCTGGTGGACAGATACGCTTCTTTGTTTCAGCAGCACAGACGGCCAGCCTTTGTGGGAGAGACTAGGTCCTCAGGATGGACTGCTCGTCATCCCAAACCCACGGCCCGTGAGTCGGCTCCCACTCAGAGCACCGGATACAGGGTTTCCGATGCTGTCCCCCTGGATGAGAGCAGACAGCCTCACCTTTCTCCCGTGGGGCAGTCGGTGAGTCTGAACCACTGCCCTTGCGCTTAGCAGCCAATACTTCTTTGGTACGTGAGGCTATTTAAAGTCCTGTGTGTGGGATTGGTGGATAATCCTTTTCATAGAGGCAGGGCACCGGAGCCATCTCTTCCCGACACCCCTCACCCCCTAGAGCACTTATGCTTGAAGAAGGAAGCAGTGAGGTCACTCGAGAGCCGTTTTCCAGTTCCACGTGGGTGCTCTACAAAAGTGCCTTATTGGTTCGTGGGGCTTTTATGTCCCACTCTGCAGAGAGTTAGAAGGACTGAGATCTGGGGCTTGAGTGCAGCCATCGGATGTTCGGGGCGGGCAGAAAACGTGTCTGTGGTGGTTACAGCTGCCTTCTCCGTGCCCGGCATCGTGGGCACCATGCGGCTGGTGGGTGAACGAGGAGAACTAGGTCCACGCCGCCTTCTTGCCTGGCTCTTTCCAATACAATGTCTTGGCTGAGTCCTCCCTCTGACAGGAAGACAGCCAGGGCCAGTCGGGCAGCATCCTGGCCCCCCCTGGTCCCCGGCTCTCACCTTCTGGGCTGGGTCTGGGTCATGCGGTTAACGCACCCACTGAGAGCCAGTTCTTCCATCAGCTCCACACGGATCATCCACACTGACATTCTGCTCTCTTGCTTCCTCTGATCTGCGTTCCCACGAGGCTGGCAACTCATTATAGCCACTCACTGTGGTTAAGAGGCCCCGCTCGCATTACACAGCCTACTGGGGCTCAGCTGCGCAGGGGAGGAAAGGCAAGAAAGGGAAGCACAGGAAGAACTGGGGTTCCAGGCCTTGCTGGTGAAGGCGGCGGAGGCCTGTCCCGAGCCTACTGGACTTACGTGCAGGGGGATGGACGTAGCCAGTGTCTGAGACCAGTCAACAGAACATTGGGACGTCAGACTGATGAGAGGGAAAGGAGTGGTGGTGAGGTGCATCATCAGTCGAGGGCAGAAGAAGCTGATTGACACAAAGGCTACCCGTACCCTTGGCAACAGCTGCAGGACCATCATTTTAGCGTGCACAGCGAGCGCTTGAGAAAGGGTTGATCTGAGGAGATTAGGAGTTAGCCTGGGAAGGGAGTGGAAAGCTGCCAACAGCTTGCCCAAGAGACTGTAAGGATCTGATAGAGAAACTGCGAGGCTCTCCAGAATATGATGGTGGGCAGAATGACCTTTTTCAGCTGTCTGGCCCTGTCTGGGTCCCAGGACCACTCACAAACTTCTAGCAAGGGGTTGGGAGAAGAGACTAAGATTATTGGGTAAGAGGGATTCCCATCTTTCCTTGGGTGAATGCTCCAGGGAACACACTCTGGGGCATGGAGGGGTGCAGAGGCTTTATTTTCTCATCGGGAAAATGGATCTTATGATTGTGGATACCTATCCCATTCATGGTCAGAATGAACTGAAATAACACACGCATGCTTTGTCTGGCACAGCTCTGTGCTCAGGAAAGACCAGCCAAGAGAATGAGGCATGTACTTGGTGCAGAGCCTGGTCCACAGTGGGTGTACCATACAGGCTTACTTCTCCCTCTTCCCTATTTCCAGAGCGCACCCTGTGTCCTCACCTTGGAATCTCTCTCAGCTATTACCCACACACTCGCTGTTCTCTTCGAGCACTTTCTGACCTAACAGAAATAACCACATTGTGCCCTTTGGAAAGTTCATACACCACCCTCTCTGGGAGATAAAGAGATCTAGGGGTAACTAGACAGACAGCTTAGGGCAGAAAGAACAAAGCAAAAGCCACTGTGAACAGAGTCCATCACCACACGGGGAATGGGCCCGACAGCAGGTGAGGACCGGGGTTTGTTTGCAGGATAGTCCCAAGCAAAGGAGTCTGTCTGTGTGCCAAGACCCTGAAGCCTTTACAGGGCGAGGGCCTGACTCCTGAGCCTAAGCTTGGAATATGAAGTGCCATTCCCTTTATGCTTTCAATAATGACTTACCCGCTGCTTATCCGGGTCCACAAAGCGGATTCCAAAATAGTCTTTCTCAAGTAGGTTCAGGTGGTGGCAAAGAAGGTCGAACAGGTACTGGCCTTTGGCATCTCTCTGCAGAGAAAGAAACTGCCATTGAGAAAGGAGTGGGCTTGTCTTCATCATCATTAAAGAATGGTCTGTAACAGCGGCACAGGGAGAGGGAACAGGCACACGTCCAGACCCGGGCCCTCCCTAGTGTGATTGATGTATTGGGTTTGGAGTTCTCCGCAACCGGAGACTTTCAGCACTCGACAGCAGCCTAAGCTTTATCAAGGGCAATGTCACCGAGAGGAATTACTGAAACCCAAAGGAAGGCTGCGCATGCAAGTGAGACAAGAGGGAAGTAAAAGGAAATAGAGGAAAGAACTAGGAGGCAAAGGGCATTTATAAAGGTCTAAATATAGGTATGTACATATGTAAATATATTTCTATATGACGACGGGGAAATAGATCTATGTACATATATTTATAGGTTTAATATTAAGGTAGCAGATAGACATTGGGTCTCCGCTCAAGTACTCCCTCAATGCAAGAACACTTTGTTCTATTAAACTGGCATTCCACGACATGATCGATGAA